TCTGTTTCCCATGAATTTCGTTTTATCGTAAAAGACTCGTAAACTGGATAAAATTAGCCGAGGATTGTATCACGCTACTTTCTTACGAAATAATTCTTCGACAGAAGCGATATCCAAAGAGGAGAGAAAAAAAGGAAAAAAAAAAAAATAGACGAGGTCAGTATGATTTAGAGGAAGAAAAATAGACTAGCGATATCGTCTATCAACAACCTGTTGAAACGCATCAGGACGTTTCATAAATCTTCTCGTCCGTTTAGGTAAACTTTATTCGAGGAAATCGAAAAACAGTACCTTCTTCTTTGCATCTTGTGAATTTCATTTACCTCGTCGGACGTTTATTTCGTGAAATAACTGGAATTACCAGCAGTCGGTAATTTATTTAAACGATGATAAAGTTAATTAGCATTTCGTTGTTTCGAGAATTCTCTTTGAGTGGAGTATAGGAAACTCGGTTATTTTTCGAGGAAATGATAAATAAGGGGACATGATTAATTTGTGATGTTCAAATGTTTGTAATTGATGGAAGATAGTTTATTAACGTAACGCTTAATGGCCGTCGAGTGTCGCGTATCCCGTGATGAAACAAAACGCTAATCACAGCCATTTACAAACGAAAAGCAGAAGTTGCTCTTGAAATAATGCCAACGTTGGATTGATAGTCTCTCAGTCAGGAAGGCAACCCCAAGGACGTTCGGTAAGCTAAGCTTGACACATGCGAGATTCGCAACAGTTCCGGGACATCGGTTTCGATTAAACGTTATTTCGTATAACGATGCAGTTTAGTCAACGTTTTAAAATATCCCACTACTGTGAATGTTCTCGACGAATAGTTAAATACCCTCCTCAAAAAAAAACTATTTCTACTTGAAAATTTTTGTAATTATTACCAATAGTACTGTTAATTTTCCTAACTGCGCGCAACTCGTAACAACCGAATGTTTTTAAACGAGTTCGTAACTTGACAAATCAATTTCCGCTAACGGTTAAAATTTGAAAGTTCAAAAATTCAAATTTAAAAGGTTGAAAAATCGATAATCGTTTTAACGAATTTTAACGGTCGATAAAAGAAAGAAAAAACGAATCGTTCTGCTGTTACGATTGCACAAATCAAACGAGAAATTTCGACGGTGCGTGTTTGGATTTCGCGGTGTATAAATTTAAATTTCGAAGCCGCGTGCGAAATCGATTCACCTTGGGGGAGACCGCGTCACGCCTAGAAAACTGTCCGTATCTCTTTCTCTCTCTCTCTGCCAAAGGTCAACGTCTACGCGAGTGTAAACCCCATGCAACATGATCGTTCGTTTACTCGTTCACTGAACCAGCCGGTTACCTACGAGCATCCGCAAAAAATTCCCCTTCTCGAAGCTGGGGGACAATGTTGTCATAACAGAACCATGATGACCTATGTTCGACCACTTGAGACGATTTTCTAAATAATTTGCTCGTAACATTTATTCAAATATACTACACTTACGTGTACTGTTATTTCTTTCTACTCTTACCGCGTACTTCACTGCGCTGAAACTGAAACATATGCTTTCAATCGGGGTAGTAGAGTTGGTAAAAAATGTCCAACAATTAAAGTGGTACGAGATTCGTTAAACAGACGCGAATCAAAAAGTTTCCCTCGTGCGACGTTAAAAGTTCGTTCAGAGGAAAAGGCGGTAGGAACTAGTTTCAAACAAAGTTACCACGAAACGGAAGTGCACGTACAAAGATGGGAGGAAGAGGGTGAGGAAAAGGAGGGGACATTACTTTTCCGACGATAATGCATCCGAAACCGCAGAATCCTGTCTCTTGCGAGAAAACGGGGGCATCGTGCCGCAAGTCGTCGCGCATACACTACTCTATAAACGTATACATAGGGATTCCTAATATGCACATTCGCCACGACTCGAAAGGTCGAAGGTCACGAAGGATCGTGCCCAAAGGATCAGGGATAGACATCGAACGTGCGACCTCGATATGTCTTGGGACGCATAAGCGAGAAACGAATAGCAGGAGGCTGAAACGACGATTTATCAACGTCTGTTTCGTTTGACTTCGAGCAGAAGATGCTTGTGGAGTTCAAGGAACCATCGGTGTGAGAAATTTCACGTTTCTTAAACGTGTTTTGGAATTTTCATATCGATCAGATTCACTGTTCTGGTAGATCTGAATGACTCTGTATCAAAATTCGATCTTTCTACGCATAACTGTTGACTTTGCAAGCAATCGACACACGTAGCTTTATAGGCGGATCGGTGGTAGTACTTTTACTTGAGAATCTCTCGCGAGAAATTACACTTTTATTGATAGAAATAGCTGTATGAATTCGTTAAGAAAATCTTTGCTACCGGTAAGTGCTACTGACTTTTCTCAAGTAAAGTGATGTAACGAAGGTATGATTTACCAAACTACGTGATATTTTAAGAATTAAGGCGCATTTGGGGTAAGGTAATGATAAGAAAAATCATTTGTACTCACCATTTCTGCATGATCCTATCGTAGACGCATCGAAGCGTCCTTTACGTTTCCGGCATCGTTCTGGACCGGCGTTGCTCCGTTCAGATGCAAGTCTTGCTGGCAAGCTTGTGCAATCGAACAGGAAAAAAATTCTGATCGCTACGATCGTTGACAATCGTTTTAAAAACGAATACGTGGTAACGAAACACGACGTCTCGACACGATGAACAAACACAAAACTCAATACGCACACGCGTGAGGCGCGAGACCGACTGACTGATTCTCTCGATTTCGGTCGTGGCTCCTGCACTAGCGCCACCTGTTCTACGCGACCGTCTCACCGATAGTATATGTACCTCTGCTTGCTTTAATGCGTGCGCACTATTCACGAACACTTTAATAACTTTCTTCTCGCTTGCTTCTCTTACTTTTTTCTCCTTTCAAGTTTTGTCTTCAACACCGTGTTTCAAGATGATAAGAAACTTTCATTTACGAATTATTCATGTGGAATCTCGGAAGTTCGGTGAGTGTCAGCCACTGCATTCAAATGCATTGTACTGCAATCTATGTTTATCGTTGTTAGTCAAACTAGAATACACTGCATACACTACGAGACTTGAAAACTTTAAAAAGTATAAATTGTCGCGATAATTCTGACGCGAAATTGTATTGAACGTTCAATTTTTTTTTCTGAATACCTATCAATCTCGACAGATTGTGATATTTTTGTGTAACAGTCATGAATGAATAGATATAAGAATTAAAACGCCATTGATAAAGATTTGCGCCAAAATTGTGCGCATATATAGATGCGCAGAGTGCATTGTCGTTGCATATTTCTACCTTGAACATTGCAAACAGATTAATTAACAACCAGCAAACAGTTAGACAATTAAATTATATCACCTATGTGGTTCCATTGAAATACCACACCCTGCAGTGCAGATACGCGATGACACATTTACCGGCACGATATGCAGAAGTTTGTGCAATTCGTGCACGAAGATGCAGCGAATACGTGTTCTGAATTGCACGGTGAATTAATGCGTATAATAAGACATACGTATAAATACAAATCTTAGTTGTAATTACGAATTTAGAACATTTCCAAACAAATTAACGTAAACAATTTCGGCAAATTAAATGAATTATAAGACTTCCGTTAGGAAAATGAAGTTCCTCTATTTTATTATCACTGTATAATTAACATCAATTCGTACAAGCAGTGTTGTTTACTTAGGCCAGTTTTATAAAATCAGATGCATCATACTTGACTTTCAATAAAATACATGATCAATTTAATCGTTGTTTACTCGAAATCGTAATTCGTACACGCGCCTCTTTCGAATTCAGAGACAGAGTGTATAATTCATTTTGTTGAAATTAGTATTAATACAAAAATGTGACTAGCGAATTATGCACTAATAAGTACTATATATACATGCTCAATAACATACTATATGGGATTTAAAGTAATTATCTTTATGTATAATAATAAAGTTTATAAATGTTACAACTTTGTTCTCGGTTGAATTATACAGCATAATGTGAAATAAAAAATTAATTTAATTACAGGTATAAAAACTGCTTTAACGTTGAATGCTTAATACTTATTTAAATTGCACGATTTAGTTCTACAATTAGATGAAAATGTAGCATAAATTTCTTCAAAATTAAAATGCTTAACACTGCACAATTGGTTGCACTAAAATATACATACATCGATTACATTGTAAGCACATTCTTGGTGTTTTTTTTTTAATTCGTATCATATCAAATGCTTTCTTTCACAACGCATGCATCTCTCGGTGGGCAAAATAAACTTCGCAAATAACCAAAAAAAATTGTGCAAGTGTCGGGAATAAGAGAAATTGTTTCAACAAGAGAATCGTTTCCATATATATTTTTTGAATTTATAATAATACGAGGATACTTTAAAAATATATTTTTTTTTTTCAAACATTTTATATCTGCGTGTGTATGTATCCTTTGTTAAATTATTTGTACGACTATTCCTTCATTATGCAAAATTTTCTAGTTTCTTTTCGGTACAACTGTTTTCTTTGTACAAGATCAAAATTGCAATGATGCATAGCTAATCACATTTACACGTGAATTGTATATCTGGTATGAATTGTATAAATGCAATTAATTTTCGTGAAATATATAGATAATAATAACTTCATAAGTATGAAGCACTTATGCATAATGGAAGTATTCTAAATCCAGAATAGTTGATTCAATAAATCTTATAACAAAAATTACTTCACCTAACATTATTTTACATTTACAATTTAACATCCTTATATTAGGAACGAAGATTATAGAGAACGATTGGTGAATCAATGCATGCAGAATAAAAGTACATAAGTTATCGACACTTTAGAAAATCTAAAATGGAAAAATATGTTCTATTTTATTACGGTAAAATTGCTCATAAATGATTTATAAACAAACCATACAAAAAATGAATCACGTCCTATTGCAAGGTGCTTATAACACACGGTAGTTGCCCAAGTTTTATTTTATCACCATTTAAGTGTTTCAATTTCTGTATTAATGTAAATTATAACTATATCGAAAATAATTCGTGAAATTTTTTTTACATATTTTATACATAGCACGCATCTCTTTCCTTTAATTCTTGCTTACGAAATACTAAGCGTGTAAAAAAAGTCTTTTACCATTCTTCTGTCAGTCTGTCGGCTCTCCAACAAAAAACATTCACAGACTCTTTCTACATTTGTCATTTTGTTTACACTAATATGATGTACATAACACATGGAAAACATTGCGGGGACACCATATTTGATCTGATCAGGAAATACGTTGTTCTCAGAACATCAGAAATGCCATTAAAAAAATCGAAATTCTTTCGATGAAACATGCACAGTAGGGATGATTATGAAAGACCGCGGTTCTTTGATCGATTATCGAAACAAATATTGCACTAATCGGACGACATTTGTGGCTCTTCTAAATATTTCCTTAATGAAGATATGACTTCTGTCAATGCACTATTCATTGATTTATCTACGAATTTTTGTGGAATCCAGCCCTTTAAATTCGTATTAATAATCCACGTGACTCGGGATTTATTCTCTTCGTTAGGTAAAGGTTCTGCTGCCCAACAGCTTATATTGTTTTCAGCCCTTTAACAATATATTATACATTGCAAACAGGTATCTGTCACTTTACGATATAGTATAATTTGAATGATTTTTTTATAATCTTACCTGACAACGTTACTGCGATTAGGTATCGATAGTAAAGGCACTGACGTACCGCAAGTAAGATAATAGTTACTGTACCGAATACGATGTCTCAAAATAATAAAATCTCGGGCCCCAATCATACCGCCACCGTGAGGATTTGTAGCTTGGTAAACAATATCCGTATTCTCGTCAATGTACTGACCGAGGAATACACAATAATGAATCACTTAAATTAACATATAAAAGTAAAAAAAAAATGTTACCTGTAATATTTTGGATTCTGAAACTAGCTTATTCCATGATGGTAATAATTCTACTTCATCGAATAATTTATCAATAAGTGAACTAGGTTGGGCATGAACAGTTCCCTTAAAAGATTGCATTAAATCATCTTGTAATAAAGGAATGTACGAAACTGAAACGATATTTTATTTAAACTTACTACTATTTTTAAAACCCTTCCTTCTGGTTTAGGACGGTCCACGTAAAAGATAATATCACCGTTCGGCATTATATTTTCAATTTGCCAGTCTTTAGATTGCAATAAAGCATGGCAATTTTGCACTAACGCATTCGCTTGTCTTTTATAATCCTCTATCTATAAACATTTTCAAATCATACATATGACTTTGATAAAACCATTATAATCATTAATTCGTTATACAATCTTCCCTCACCATCTCTGGCGTGAATTTCTCTAAAGGCTTTGGCGGAAATATTTCGTTTGCTTTCGTTGAACCCCTGGCACAACTTTGTCTTCGATAATTTTCATCTTCATTATCAGAGTGATCCTGAGAATCCATAGGTGTGAAAAATGTAGCATTAGGGTCGGTGCTAGTGTATTGGCGCAAATCCGACGGATTGCCTCGGAGAAGTGGTTCCCTTTCATTTTCTATGAAAGCTAAAAGCAATTTGAAATATCTGTTTATATCTGAAGCAACGATACGCAACGCCAAATTCGATATTCAATAAAGGAATATAACGATAAAGTATTATACTTCTTAACCAGGTTCTAGCTTCTATTTCTTGAGGTAACACACGAATATCAAAGAACCAAGCTTCCACCCAAGACAATACAAAAGATGAGAGAATGAGAAGAACTTGAAATACTGGTTGATTGCACGTCGTCCACTAAAAACGACAATTTTATCATTAATGTAAATCCATGTAATTGACAAATCAAACACTCACATCGAAAAGAAATACTTTGGTAATTAAAAAAGCACACGTCGAGGCAGTTGTCATCTGTAGCAAAGAACACAATGTCTCTCTTACAAAATAGCATTATCTTGTAATTAATTACATTCGAATTATTCACGAAAATGTTCCACTTACGGCTACGAAGAACCAATGGTCCAAATGAAGACACGCGTAGAAGAGCAATATGATCGAAAACCTTAATATCGCTGCTATCTAAGAAGATGAAATTCGTAAAAATCTCTGCTTCGTCGAATGATCAAAAATGACAACAAACTGCATGTCATCTTCGACATTTTTTTGTATCCTCTCAAGTGACGTACTAACATCACGATACTTACCACTATGTCGAACAGCGATGTTTTAATATTATAGTGGACCACTTGAGTCATGAAGGCAAACTCCACACTCTCGCCGGCAATCTAAAAATACGTTTCGGATAAAATCGGAATCTATCATATACGAATTTCTTTGGCTCGTATGAACCACAGGCGAAAATATATGTACGTAAAAAGGAGAAAAAGATTTCTTTAGCTTTGAAAAGAAAAAATTGCCTATTAAGTTATAGCGTGATTTACCATCGTGCAAATGAGCCACATGAGAAATGTGAGCAGAAGATCAAAAGTGACGAAGAGGCAGAAGAAACGTCTGACAGCAGACATCCTCCAGTTCTGCATGGCACCCGCGATAATATTCTCGTTCGAAATGATATCCGTGTTCAACGTTACACTCTGTTGAGTGTAAGAACTCCTCTGTGAGTTTATAGATCCGGTCAACAAAGTTTCAGCGGCTTCTCTAATTTGCCTCTCATTTTCTGCCATTCTACCAGTCTCCTGCTGTTTGATATCCACCACGATGGCCTGAAAATAACAATTAGAAATTGGTTAGTAATTCTATACGATCATTTGGACATGTTACAATTATAACGTTACACCCGTGCGATACTACCGACTGAAAACACGCCGATTATCGCCGCTTTTCGTGACCATCATAAGAACCTGCGTTGCATGCGTCGATTTTCGCTTAACTACTATGGACTAGTGTTAACCGGTTGCGATGGGAAATCGTTTGGTGCAATGATCTGTAATTAACGTACGGTCAACGGACAATTTCGGGAATATTCATTATAATTTCTTTCCATACGGTGTGTCACACATGTTTGGTTCAACATGGTTAATTTTGCAAATGAGAATAACATGACTGAACAGAATGTTTTATTGTTACGTTAAATATGTATGTATGTAAATTATATTTCCAAGTATTTCGAAAAATGTCACGCTCGTTGCAACCGATTCGATGTATTGGTGGTTAGTTCTTCTTAAGCTGTGTTCGATACGGCATTGTGATTCTAAGAATATTGTCTCAACGATAACATTTACATCTTACAGAATGTAAGCTTGTCACCTTACGTTACATCCGCTCTTGCATGGAATAAAATTAATACTAATAATTTTTTACAATTTTCTTTTTTCTAGCTATATTCGTTTGTTTACAAGAAGCTGCTTAAAAATTCTGTTGCTAAGAATTATATTTATAATGGTCGATATTTTTTTTTGTTTTTACAAGGTTATGGATGGTCGTTTGCAAAGACGTTATATAGATCGATTATCTCGAACAATATGTTTGTAATTTTTATATCAATATTTAGGATATCTTCGATTGTGAAGGGTTATGTATTTGAGTTCGAGTATACGTTTATCGGTTTTATTAACAAGAATAAATATGTACACATTTCGGTCGATATATAAATTATACGGGCTTAACATTTTTTCCTCAGTCGATTTTCGTTGTCGTAAACGATTATATCACACTTCAATTCGTATCTAAATTGTTACTTTTTATAGATCAATTCTTCACACTCATCTTTTACGACGTATATATACTTCATTGCTTGTAAGATAATGATGGTAAAAAAAAATGAACTTACATTCCTTACGATGACCGGGAATATATACCTAATGCGTTAGATAAAAGTCGAATGCGTCAATTTAGCTGCAGATTAAATATCTTGTGACACAATCTAACAAAGAACATGCTTCGTATATGTATGTAACAGTACGCAGGACGTGTGTATAGATAAGTAAATCGAAAAGCGAATTTTTTATACCGCAAAGAGATAAAGAATGTCTGAATTAATTTGACTTGCAAAAATAGTAATTTATCTCTTCACCGTGATAGTATATGAACTATGTCCGATGGCAATTGTACGATCAGATTTACTAACGCAAAAAGAAACATTCATGGAACTTTCTTGATAACTATTGTGTTTATTTTTAGATATTGTAAGTTTCAAAATGACTTTAGAAAATATTTTACAGTCACGTAGTTTTTATTTTTTCGACAAATATAATTTAAATTTTAAAGTCAGCAAGTCTACGAAATGCAACAGCTGATACGGCCGATGGCCCATATACTTATATTGACGCTTGTTCAAAATATAGGAATATCATTTCTATCGTGAAAATTGTTCACTTTTCTGTATTGCTGTTTTCGTATTGATATTTACACTGATAATCACGAACGAGAAATATTATCGGTACTGCGTCGATTCTAAGAGATCTCTTGTAGCATACTTGACTTAACTGACATTAACGACACATTCTAACCTCAAAAGCGTCTAAGAAACTTGCAGCTTATCAATTTAAGAGGCTACTAACTTTTTCCGCCACAGCTTCTATTAATTCTGCTTGGCAACCCTTGAAGCGGCATTTCTATATGTATATGTCGATTAATAGTAGGCATAAGAACTACAGGGACTCGACAACAATTAAAAAAAAAAAGGTGTGAATGAATTACTTTTGTTTACCGTTTAGGTCTTGTGAATCCTCATAAATCCAATCGCATTGAAAAAGAGGCAACTGTTAACATGTTCCACTCGCGTATCATCCCGATAAAAATAATTTACAAAGAAATGCTGAATTCTTAAAAGAACCGACGATATTTCGACTATCGCTGTAACAAGGATAAACACAAGTAATGTAGCAATTTATCTACATGAGCTGCATGTGAATTTTTCACACTGATAACGGCGGCGCCATGTGATAGAGCTGAACGTAGTGCCATCTTTAGGCACTTTTCTACCAACCAATGCTAATACCACAGACGAGGTAAAGAATAGATCTATCATCGTGTGGAACTTTATGTCTCACGTTCTAAATTACCGATCGTATGAGATATCAGAGGTTTTGTTATGCCCTTTACAATGTAGAGCGGTGAATTTAGGTATTATATACAATCGAACCATCGAAGATGGTAAAGTCGACAAGTGTAGAATCCGCATATAAAGATATTTACAATATATTGGATTTCATGGGTAGAACTTTGACTATCTCTCGACAGCAGTAAAACACGTGCATGAGATGAATCATTCAATAATGAAAAGTTATGTTCTCATATTTTTGATTACAGAATAATGAGAATTCTTTGAATTTTTCGCTTTTAATAATATTTATTGTATATTAGAGCATAATTGCATGCAGTAGATTAGTTAAGAATTGTTTATAGCTTCATTAAAATTAATGTCCTTCTTCTGTGAATTGCAGATGGAACTTTCAAACCACCATAGGAATCAAGGAAAGGACTTCAACATCAGGAAAAACCAAGAATGCAATTATTTATCAAAAAATCAATTATTTACTGTAAGATAACTGTACAAAATGTATTTTACAAAAGGTTACAATAAATTCGTATTGTTTCACAACATTTTACAGTCTATTTTCATTTGATAGCACTAGAGAAATGAGTTAGACAAGGAAAGGAATACGAGTAGATAAGGATAGCACTAGAATAATGAGTTAGACAAGGAAGGATATAGGGATAGACAACGACAGAAAATTTGAAAAATGAAACTAGCGCCATCTCGTGTTTGGTGACGTGAACTACGACTTTGTAATAGGAACAATACGAGTAGATAAGGATAGCACTAGAATAATGAGTTAGACAAGGAAGGATATAGGGATAGACGACAGAAAATTTGAAAAATGAAACTAGCGCCATCTCATGTTTGGTGACGTGAACTACGACTTTGTAATAGGAACACAGAATATAAACAGAGGTATTAGACAAGGAACGCACTAGTGTGCGACAAGGATAGAGAGAGAACGTTTCCTATTGGCTGACGGGCCGCCATGCTCCGCTTCGCATGGGCTAATCAAGTCGGTCAGAGAAAAATCATTAATAACTCAATAATTAGGACGATTTTGTGAACTTTTAGAATTGAAGAATGAAGTGTGGACCTTTAGCAACTTTCTCATATAATTTTTAATGGTCTACATACTTTCAATAATTAGTTATTAATAATTTTAGTACGCGATGTCGGGAACGATACCGCATACCGTCAAGTAGCTTTGCGGCTTTTTAATAATTTCATATCTTCCTACTAAATTCTCATGCAAGTAACTATACGCATCTGAAAGGCAACTCTTTTGGCTACATTCCCATCTAATTTTTGTTCACATATCCGGTTTAGTTTAAGAGTAATTAAACATTATATGAGAGAGTCTCCTATTCATCGTACTCGAGTACAGTCAACTATTACAAACAATTGCTAATATCTAATAAACCATACAACGTACGACTTCAAAAATAATTGCAGAATATAAATAAAAGTCCATTCTGCATTCTGCATGCTTTAAAGTGCATAATTAGTCACGCATATCTGTTAAAATAACGAAAATGTGTTACGCTGGAATCGGACGCCTGTAATACTTACCCAAACCATGTTTAATAACTCTTAAACTAAACTGGAATTGTGAACAGAAATCAAATGGGAATGTAGCCAAAAGAGTTGCCTTTCAGATGCGTATAATTACTTGCATGAGAATTTAGTAGAAAGGTACGAAATTATAAAAAAACCGCAAAGCTACTTGACGGTATGCGATATCGTTTCCGACATCGCGTACTAAAATTGTTAATAACTAAATATCGAAAGGATCGAGACCATTAAAAATTATATGAGAAAGTTGTTAAAGGTCCACACTTCATTCTTCAATTCTAAAAGTTCAGAGAATCATCCTAATTATTGAGTTATTAATGACTTTTCTCTGACCGACTTGATCAGCCCATGCGAAGCGGAGCATGGCGACCCGCCAGCCAATAGGAAACGTTCTCTCTCTATTCTTGTCGCACACTAGTGCGTTCCTTGTCTAATACCTCTGTTTATATTCTGTAATCCTGTTAAAAATCGTAGTTGGTGTCACCAAACGCGAGATGACGTTAGTTTCACTTTTCAAATTTTCTGTCCTTGGCTATCCCTATATCTTTCCTTGTCTAACTCATTTCTCTAGTGCTAGCAAATTAATAGACTGTAAAATGTTGTAAAACAATACTGATTTATTGTAACCTTCTGTAAAGTTATCTTACAATAAATAATTGCATTTCTTGTTATCTTATTCTATGCTGAAATGATAACGTTGGAAGTGACGTGAAAATGGTAAGGGGGCTCTAGAGCCCCTGCGACGTGGATAAAAAAATGCATTGGGTTATAAGTTTATGCTGTACCTTGTCTGTGCTAATATCTTTTTACGGTATTACCGAATGTTGTCGGAGTAGGGTAAAATTAAACATGAAAATTACATTAAAAACAGTACTCTCAATATTTTATTCTTACGAAATACATTTCCATAAAAGTCGCTTATATTACATATAATTATTGTATTGGTTCCATTACTGCCCTTCTGTCGAAATGCAATAGACACTATTATGCATATATTCTAAAAACAATTATAATGCCTTTCAATGTACTTGATATAAATATAAAAATTAAATGCCCTTCCTAAAGTTTCAAAACATTATGAAGTACAAAAGTAAAATTCTTTCACTTTGTGTTCTTTTCACATCTTACATGTAACATATTAAAGTTATTGATATTCTAACTATCCCCCAATGCCCCAGTTTAAATCAATCGTATCTTTAATGACGTTAAGTACTTATTTATCGGAAAGGGTTAAAGCTCGTAAAGAATCTTCAGGATGAACCTCTAATACTGCTGAAGTTCCAAAACTAAACGGATACGCTATACCACCATCAAGAACAATACACGCATCGTAACATTGCGATCTTATTGTTAACTTATTACAAAATCCTCGAGGACGCAGAGACTTTGTTGGTATGGGCCATATATCAGTTACTATCATATCCCTTATAGCATAACACAACCTTAAGTCCTCTGAAATACAAATAAGTTTTTAATGCTAATCTTTTATATCTAAGATACTACACTATACATACCTGCACTGTATTGTAAACTATTATTAAAAGTAATACAAATTTGTTCGATGTCTTTATTACTAAACTCTTTCTTTTGATTTACAAGACTCAATATGTCTTGTACTATTTGTGGACTTACACTATTTATAGATTTATACCAAGATGTCGAGCCTGTCCCTGTGCTAACACACAGACCAGAGCTTTTCACAAAATGATATTTATCTTTATTGTCGAATTTTAAAAGTAAGGAACTTGTCCTAGCGGATAGTGTTTCTGCCACAAAAACCTACGTATAAAAGAAATATTAAATTTTATTACAGATTAACGATATACGAATAAATTTTGCATCGAGTTGCTGAAATTTACTTCATTCAATGCTAACCAAGGCAAACGCCTTTCCTTTGTTACATTATTTGGTACTTCTTTCTTCGGCTTTTCAACGTAAAATCTATTAGAATAAGAAGTACTTTGATTATCTTATCTTAAGTGACACAAACAATAATCAAGTTTCTTACTTTTCTCCTCCTGCAACGCGACCTTTTTCATGTGTATGAAACGGAACATCCCAGACATTGTCTCCCGTTATCGTTGTACGAATTCTGCTTCTCATTATTACATTATAATCACCTGCTTTCAGCTTTTCGAAAATTTCCGATATATTTTTCGTATATTTTGGCGGTAACATAAGAAATCCTTCGGACCTTTCCGGGTATGAATTGATACCTATTATTGGCTTTTTATTATCAAATATCATATTTGACGCCAATAAAAACGTACCATCGCCACCGATCGGAAGGATTAAATCAGCCCAAATAAAATTTGAATGATCTAGACTTTCCCTGTGATAGAAAAGTAGAGAAATTAATCAAATTGTAAATAATATTAGAAAACTTATAATTTAATAAACATTAATAAGATTGTGTTTTACCTATTTATTATTTTATATTCTATATTCATTTTTTTCAACACCTCAGTTACTTGACTTTTTACAGCTTTGGTTGACATATGACTAGCCAACATTGCTTCATAATCAGAGCCCCTTTCTCTTAATTTCAATTTTAACTGGTCTTCATTCAAGTTTGGTTCACGTAATTTTTCAAAATGATATCGTGACAACTTTGCCACGATGAGTACCCGCTTCGGTACAAAGCTCGATTCATTTCGCAAAAATAATCCGAGATTATTATAAACATTACACTTGCGTGGTTGTAAAAATTGTAGAATTCCTGAAAATATAAAACGATATGTATTAGACGATCGCGTCGTTTTCAAGAAATCATGACATAAAGATTTCAAAGCAATGACAAGCGGAAATCTACATATCTCTTAAGTGTCATAAATATTCATGTAGCACATATGTATTTACATTTTTAAGAAACTCACAATTGCACAATTAGCTTTTTCTCTCAAATGTACAAAAACTTTTCAATATTTTTTATATATTAATTCCATTTGTTACACATTCTAAAAATGACGTTTACTTTTTTGAGTGAATGCACTATTTCTTACAAATGTAAACGTATTTAGTTCAAGGGCAACCACTTCCAATAAGAAATAACTGCAGTAACGAAATAATACTGTGCGAATGTGATGGATATTTCGACGAAATCACGAAACATTACATTTTCATTACTCTCTTTAAAGAATCGAATTACAATTTATCATTTATTTACACATTTCTAATTACAATCGACGTTCCTTGATTTTCACATTTTACGAATCAGTCAAGTTAAAATATTGCATTTTAACATTTCAATTACAGACTTATTGATAACTGACCAAAGTACATGTCTAAATTATTACTGTAATACGTCTTTTGTTTTTCAAATTTTCATTGGAGCTCATTGACATTACGTGTCATCACCAATAGAATTAAACAATAATAAAAATTCACTTACTGACAGATCTCCTTCGAAGCTGGTTGAGTGTCGTCATCGCATGCTGCTTAAAAAATTTATGCGCAAAGTACTTACAAATAATAGTACAAAGAAAGGAACATTAAATACGTTCAAACGTTTCTAACCTCTCTATCGGTATGAATAGTAGATACGTATATTGAAATGCAACGTACACGTTCACAGCCTATGATGTAGAGATAAATCACGAGTGAGATAGTAGTAGTAGTAGTGTAGTAGTCGATAGCAGTATGGCGACCGCGGAAAATTTGAACGTGCGTAATTTTTGTTTCCGTTTATAAAATAATAATTTCGTTACAATGAATTACTTACAAAAAATATATGTATATATAAATTTTAACGTTAATAGAAAGTCTCCATTGGAATTGGTTTGATGTTCCCTTCCGTTCGTATATACAGGTCAGCGAAAAACCGTGAAATAGTTAAACATAAATTAAAAATGTTTTGCTTTCAAATTCGAGCAATTGAAATAATTGAGAAAAAAAGATTTCACTGTACAGATACACGCTTCGCTTACACTTTATTAATTCATTTGCAATACATTAATTAAGTCTGTTTAAATAGCATCGAGGCTACCTAACGTATGCCTTCGTTTATACTATAGACAATCATCTAGCTTAAACACACACTCTGTCTTTCAATAATCTTTCTCTCTCTCACTCTCGCTCCCTCTCTTTCTCTCTTCGTATTCTCTTTCTCATTTGCGCATTTTATTCATTTCTCTTTAATCTGTTCCATTATCGATAATCATTTATCGTTATTGTTATTACCATTGTCATTATCATTATACCATATAATATATCATAAGATCGACGTTAAAAACTAAAATTCGTATAAAAAGCGTCGTTATTCATACTAACAATGTAACTGTACTATTTAAATAATAATTGAATCTTAAAAAATTATTTGTTCTTGTTGTTGTTGGTGGTGTGTCTGAATGTATGAGATGTCTAATGCATCGGCTATAATACGAGGGTGCAAGGCGTGCATAAAGTGATGTACACATGTGTTCACGCGTACGCTCATGTCGACGTATGCTCTAAGAACATTCGGTAAGATCGCGAAATGCCCCGATATTGCGCTCACACAACAAACCATATTTAACATTACGCGTTTTACATTATGTCATCGTTACGATATCTAACGATTGTCTTGAAAATAGAAAAAACATTTACTTGAACGATCGATCGATTTACAGAAAGAAAACTAAGAAAAAGATACATCTCGTTTCGCATGTTCACGGTGTATGCAAATCATGAAGTTAAATTATAATAAAAAGACGCGCGTTTTTATTCGTTACGACCTTACCGGTACCGATCATTCTTAGATTACGTCAGGACGACAATACATTCGTTTTGCGTGTCCAGCCGCACCCCGCATATCTTCTTTTTTTTTTTAATTATCTTTCACGTTGTAATCGTTCTCACGCGGCATTTTATAATCTAGCTAATACTTTTACATACTACGAATGTTTAGCACATATCACTACGGCCGAACCACTTCTCTCTCTCGTTCTCTCTCTCTCTCTCTCTCTCTATCTGTTTTCTCTCTTAAATCTTCGTTATTACATAACTATCCGCTATTACGAGCAATAATGTACATCAATTACATAAAAAACAAGATATCATTAACGTTCTTGTGTTGTTTTATCGTCGCGCGATGGTCACACTTGCGAAGGTACCACGGCTTATTAATTAATCCAAGAATTACTACCGACACCATCATTCATACGTAGCATGTTCTTACAACGCCCTGACGCACGATATCCTGAAACGTGTCCAGTTTTGTTGTTCGTCATCCCGGGGTAAACTGCATGTGAGATATTACACATTACTATAATCCTATCGAGAAATCGAACATCGCTTAAAAAACTCGCGTGCTATTACGAACAATCAAACGAGGTCCTGTCGTTGGAACTCGACGCGGATAAAAATTGACGACGCTTAAATATCGTAGTGTTAACCGCTACGCACCATGTAGGATTAAAACGGTTTTAATTTTAAATAAACGAAAATACGATCGTTCATTGTTTTGCCTTAAAATTCGTAACTCTTTTTTTTTCTTCTCTCCATCCTCGTTAAAACAACTGCCATTCAACGTATAAAACTATTCGATCGCCACGACAAATTGAATTTTTATCAATATTGCTTTCGATTACATGGTTATTGAAGATCGAACGATCTCAATTTAGCCATGTTAAATTATATTCGTTAAAATGTAATCGCGTAAGAACAAAAAAATTTTCACAAGATTACATATATCCGAATATTCGTACATTTTATTTCAAGCTATACTTTTTTATACGCTTTAATTTTAACTCGCAAATTAATTACCACGTAGTATAATCTTTTGTCAAAAATTTACGTCGAGTCGATAAGCTGTTCTATTCGTGTAGCAATCATGCGATCAATGAGCCTCATTTCTGTTCACTCATGATTCAAACATAAATAAATAAGATAAAAAGGGAATTAACAAAAAAGAAAGAGGGTTAAAGAATCCGTGGAATGGCATTTAACTTCGTCCTTAATTGGAAGATTGACTTCGTTCGTCATTCTGTCGTATATCTTACTCTACAGCAAATGTTACCCTTATCGTGCTGATGTTTTTTTTTTCTTTTATGGGCAGAGGTG